TCAGCATGAAACGTGTCCGTTCCAGCTCAGTGACCCTGGGCAGTTATTTAATCCCTGAACAAGAAAAAGAACGGCTCCCACTTGACAGGACAGTGGATTAACTAGGTGGACACACAATGAGGGTGGCACCTGGCAGTGGTCGGGGCTGTTGGATACCAGCTGAGGCCGTTCGTGCTGCTGACCAGCATCCTAAGTAGGGTACTGTGATCCACCACGCTGGACGGTCCCTGCCTAGAGGACAGACCAGACAGGAGAACCCAGAGGTGGCAGAGAAGAGGGAGGCATGAACCAGGATGATGGCCGTGGTGAAAAGAAGAAACCATGACAGCCTGACAGGGCGAGACCTGCTAGGGCTGAGGGCTGAGACCCTCTCATGGGACAGGGAGCTGTCATGGACTTCCAGGTTTGCACTAAGTGCCTGAATGTTGGTATCAATCATGAATATTGGAAACCCACTTTAGGGGTGGCAAAGAAAAGTACTGACTGAGGTATCAGTGGGCCGCCTAGTGGAAATATTCAATAACCAGCAGCTGCCCAGGGATCTGGGGTCCAGGAGGAAGGTCTCGGCTGCACTTGCAAATCTGAGAGCCATCACCAGATCCAGGATGCCTATGGCACGGGCTCAGAGAAGACTTCTCGGGATGTCAGGCGGGGGACCAGAAAAGAGCCTAGAGAGCAGTAACGCTGACGGGCAGACAGAAGACGGACTCTCAAAGGAAACAGAGGCAGACAGGAAGGCAAGAGGAAACCAGGCAAGCGTGTTACCAGGACACCAATGCAGCACGCCACACCAATGCTGCTATGGGTGTGACGGTCCACAGTTCACAAACCAAGGGAGGACAGAGCTTGGGGTGGGGTGACCACAAATGCCAAGCGAAGATAATAGGAGCCCATGTGCCACCCAAGGAGTCACTCGTGCCCTTCAGTGGAAGCAGTTTCAGAGAGAAGGGGTGCTGAAGCCAGGGCGCAGGGGCTAAGGGTCACAGAGAACCGCCTCCTCTTCCTAGTGCTGGGCTGTGGGCGGGTACATATGTCCACGTGGTTGTACAGCAACTAGAGCATAAAGGGCACATGGGGGAGAACTACACCAGTGGTGCCCTGGGACATGTTTAACAACTGGCTGCCGGGGTAGCCCCTAATTTGTAGCATTAACTGACTTCCAAGATGTAAATACTTCTACCACAGCTGATTTCGAGCTATCAGTGTGACATTCCTGAACTTTAACAACTGCTCTCATGGGCCAGCATGAGCTGGATTCAGCACACCACTGACCAACGTAGTTGCAGGTTTCTTATATTTTACATGAAGAGGTTCAATATCAACTCGAAGTAAAGCCTGAAAAGTTAACGATGTACACTGTAATCGAGGCAGCCTTCCTCAACAGGGGTCCACAGGGAGAATTAAGCCCTACGGTGCTCAAGAAGCCAGCGTGGATCAATCAGCTCCTCTCCTATGTCTCTACTCACACTTTCTTCAGGAGAAGTGAGAAAACGGTCACTTGAATATCTGTGTTCTGCGGTTCAAACGAGAATCCCTAGGTGAGGAAGGCTGCAAGCAACCAGTTTCTAACAAGCACTAACAATGCATGAAAGTACAGTAGAAAAGCCAAACCCAGTAAAAAATGCAATGCCTTGACGGGTGGAGAGACGGGCAGATAAGGGAAGAAGCGAGTGAAGTGGAATGCAACGTGGGCTCTAGGTGGCATAATCACCGTGAAATTCTTTCAACTTCACTGTATCTTTGAAAGTCTTCATAATAAAATGTTGAGTAAAGAGCCAATACAGAAATTACAATTATCAAGGCTTCTCAATTCCAAATGCAAATTAGAATCCCCAGTGCAACCCAAGAAAGGTAATGTATCACTGGTATTTGAGAATTTAGGTTTTATTAGAATTCTTGTCTTATTAGAATTCATGTTCTAATTCTTTGGGTTTTGTTATACCAGGAGTACAAGATTTTGGGGGTTCAATGTTTAATTTATCTTTCATCTTAATAATGCTGCATGACAAACACAAAACCTCCGTGGCACACACCAAAAAGCATTTATTTAAGTTAAAAAACGCTGTTTTGATTTATAACATGGTAAATATCTATAGATACAACCCACATAAACACAGTTCTTTGAAATTCTTAATTTTTAAGAATGCAAAGAGGTCTTGAGACTGAGAAGTTTTAAAACTGCTAGTAAATGATCTGCAATTCAATTAAGTTTAATGAAACTCTCTTTCACTGTCTCACAAAAGGGTAATTTAAAAAAATAATCACTCAGAGTCCAGAGAACCAAGTTATAGAACTTCTCTCTGGGGCTGGCTCCGTGGCCAAGTGGTTAAGTTCTCGCGCTCCGCTGCAGGCGGCCCAGTGTTTCGTTGGTTCGAATCCTGGGCGCGGACATGGCACTGCTCATCAAACCACGCTGAGGCAGCGTCCCACATGCCACAACTAGAAGGACCCACAACGAAGAATATACAACTATGTACTGGGGGGCTTTGGGGAGAAAAAGGAAAAAAATAAAATCTTTAAAAAAATTAAAAAAACAAAAAAACAGAACCTCTCTTGTTGAGAGTCTTAGGAAAAGGCCTGCAGCCTCATCCCACACAGTGCAACCATCCCCTGCGTTTCAGTGCTAACAAGCAGGAGGGGCCAGGCCTGGGGAAACTGAGCTCTCCCAGAGCATCATGACATTCCTGCGTGATTCAAGGCCCCAAGAGGAACACACGGGCCATACCCTGTTGCTGAAGCCGATGCCGGGAGCTTCCGCACGGCTCTCTCGACTCCCACACTTGGAACTCTCACAAGAGCAAATGCAGAAGAAAAGGAGCCGCTGCGCCCCTTAGTGTGCATGGCCAGCACCCCACCTGACCCCTCTTCTGTTCTCTTCAGTCCAGCACAGTGGTGAAGAGCACCAGCCCTGGGCTGGAATCCCAGCTCACCCTGGGAATGTCACTTATCTATGACTCAGTTCCCCATCTGTGAAATGGGCTAACAGTCTCTTCATGGGATCGTTGCTGGAATTAAGTAGGTATAACTGAGCCTTTCAGGGCTCTCATGAAGGTGATGAGGGTTAGTCTACGCCGTGAGCTTGGAACACTGCCGGACCAGAGCAGGCAGGGCTCAGACATCCTTACTGCGGCTCCCCGAGCTTTCGTCCAAAAGATACATAAAAGTCTGACCTCTTTATGAGTTAAACTGTTATCACTGAAGACTTCCAGAGAAAAACCAGGACACATGACACACAGAAAAGACAGCTTACAGTGACTTGAGGCTTTCTGAAGAGCCATTACCGAGGCCCAACAGGATGTCACAGGAAGGGTGACTAATAAACCACGTTAACTTGCTTGCCAGTTTCTGGACGGAAGAAACTGTTAGCACCTATGACTGCTGAATGGAGAACACTGCGGATAATGAATGGCGTCTGGTTTACGATGTTGTTCAGCATTATGGCGTTTGGGAATAGACAACAGTGGTCCTAGTACAGACGGGCCTGCCTGGTAGGTCTGCCATGGCTGATGCTGAAGCTAGCTCTCCCACTGGCTCTCAGGGCACCAAAGCACACAGACGACAGAATGACAGAGAGAAGAGCCATATGTTCTGCAATTATATTAGAAAAGTAGGAATGAGGGGTGTTGGTCATTGTGTCTTGAGGAAAAAGTGCTATGGTAAAGAAAAGGCAGTCCTCCAGACCAGGAGGTGTAGGGCACAGGTCCCAAGCCGGACAGTCTGGGGACAAAGGAAGCAACAATTCATTGAGAGGCACTTTTTCCGGGATGACATGTAGGAGGAAAAAGGACAAGAGCAGTTCTAGGGTCCAGAAAGTCCCTATGACTGAGTGACAACTATCCATGCTGGGAGTTGAGGTCCTGCTGCATCTTCCCAATGACAGTCCCTCCAGCAGAGCACATACAACAAGCTGGCCGTGTGCTCCCGGCTGCTCTGAGGCTCCCTCTCTAATACCATAACCTGCTCAGGTACACAGACACATGGGTGCAGCCGTCAGGACGTGGCTATTTCCAGCTCATGGCCTAAGTCAGGGACGGCTGGCTCAGTACGATTTTGTCAGAATGGGGCTTTATTTTAAACATGAAGTATTTAATAAGCAGCTGTGAGGTACAAAGCACTATGCCTGAGACACAAGGGAGACAGAGGAGGGAAAACACATCAGACAAGCAGGGCGTGGCTCCCAACCTTAGTGCAGCTGAGTTTCAGAAGAGACACAGACACAAAGAGGAAAAAGGCCAGCTGCGTGAGGGAGCAGCCCGCCTGGAGTGTCCCAGGGCCTCACAGCCAGCAGTCCAAGTCGGGGTCACCCCGGCCCCCGTGACCACTCTGAGACTTGGGGTTCACTGTCAACCTCGCCTAGTCCTTCACATCACTTCCCTCTCCTCCGGGAAAGCCTCCCACCTCCACACAGCTCACCAACTACCTGGTCAGCAGCACTCTGGACTGCCCAGCATGGCTGCATGACATCGGACACACAAGAACCAAGCAGACCCATGGCTTCGTCTCAAACGCGTGCTCTGCAGTCTCCAGAGCTGCACTGGCCACTACGGCAGCCACTCTCCGCCACTCTCCACACTGAGCTCTCGCAATTGCAATTAAAATGAAATAAAAATAAAATTTCAGGTCCTTAGTCGCGTGAGCCACATTTCAAGCGCTCAAAAGGCACATGGGTCTGCTGGAGACCAGGTGCGGATGGAGAACATTCCGTTCTCACAGAAAGTTCTACAGGGGGCGCTAGCCCAGAATATGGGACTTATTTTGGTGGGGGGCAGGGAGGAGGGTGTAACTACTTTCATTTTTTTCCCCCTTAATAAACACCGATATTTGATTTTTACAGCCAAGATACATTCATGCATTACTTTCAGAACTCATAAAAAGAACACAGCTCACTGAGATGAGTGTTTATGAAAGGCCTGAAGGTGTGCCACTAAGCCTCGCTGCGAAGACCTCCCTTCCACACTCTAGCATCTTCTTCCCTTTGGCCTGTGGACGGACAGACTCACCTTTGGAGTGTTTTCCTACAGGCCTCTTGGGCAGCGACTCCTCAGTGGAATGTGCTGATGTATGCAGTGCATTCTCCAAACTATTACTGACACTGTTGACAGGGGTCTCGGTTCTTGGAGTGACCTGAGGGGACAAAAACATAATCATCTTATTTTCTTCCATTTAGTTCATATGGAATGACTTTTATTGTTATTTAAAAGTCATTTATGTTTACTGTCGTTTCCAATTTTTATATAAAACATGTATTACTAGTGTAATACTAAGTGCTTCCTGCAAAAGACAGAAATTTCACCATCTACTTTAAAAATAGGCCAGATAACTTTAAGCAAACAGGGGCGTTTATGTCTTGTGTCAGTGTTCACTCAACTGGATAGAAACTATGTCAGCAAAGTTGGCATGAACTATATACCTATATCTGAGGCAAAATCTTATTTTTTATTTCTTCAAATCATATAGTTCCCTATAAAATTAATTACACAGCAGGACTTAAACGCTGCCCTTCTATAAATCTTGAGTAAGATTTATAAATCTTAAAAAGCTCTAAAAACAACAAAGAACAAAATATAACTGGATCTATTTGGGGGTACATTTTACAAAAGCATATTCTAAGATTCCATCACACTTCATTTCTAGGAAGCCATCATACAAAACACTTACACAGAGAAAAGGCGGAGGAGCGACGCTCACTGCAGCGGCATTTGTAAACGTGAAAACTGAAATATCTGAACAGCTATTGACAGAGGCCTGACAACAAACGCCAGGACATCACAGACCGACCACGATACAGTCATGAAAGGAAGGGGGGGGGGGGTCTCTGTACTGACAAGGAAAGCTCTTCAACACAGACAAAGTTTAAAAAACAAGTCACAAAGCACGGTTCTTTGGCTTCAAGTCAACGTGTTTGTGTGTAAATAACTACATAGGGCCCAGAAGGACGCAGCAAACTTCATTCACTGCAGTGACCTCTGAGAGAAGCGATTTCCTTGGGCAGGGTGGGGAGGGGGCAATAACTTTCTTTTTTTCCCCCTTAATAATGATCAGTATTTGAAAATTTTACAGCCAAAATATATTTATCACTTGTAGGATTTAGAAGAATAAGAATGATCAATGCTTTAACTTCTTTAAAGTCACAATTTAATGTATGTCAAAATTTCAAAGGATAGTAGAGAAAAGTTAAGATTTTAAAGTTTATCAAAAGAGGTGTGTATTTTCAAAGGTGGAGAAACACGATGCTGTATACACAATAAAGGGGAAAAGTTGGAGAAAAGAGGAGAGCAGGAGTTTTGGTCCCAATTCTGATCCAGAGTTGACCTGAGACACGTGTATCATTAGGCTCCCTGGCCTTCCTTTTCAGGAGTTCACCTCATGACCTGGAGAGCAGGTGGGAGTTGATAAAGGAACCTGTGCATCCACTGCGAGCACAGATCCCGCAGCCACTGTAGAAAGGTCTGGCCCGGGGCATTAAGGCAGAGAGCGCTTCAGAAGAGGATGGAGAGGGCTGCCACGCCTGCAGGGCTGAACCAGTATTTCCGTGTTACAGAGCCAGCGACACCCAATCATTTACAGACAGGGAACGTAGGACAACCACAGGCCGCACACGCAACAAGCTCTACTCCAACTCTGTCAAAGCCACGGGAGCAGAAAGGCCTTCAGGCTCTGTGCAGAGAAGCCTCGCCGTGAACACACAGCACGGGACTGACCAGTCCTACACCACACAAGACACACGGCCCAAGAAAAGTAGCTCACCACAAGTCTAGTCAACTCAGAAGTTCACGTAACTCGAGGAAGTCAACCCTACCCATCCAGTACTCCTCCAACAAGTCAATTCTGTTGATAGCATTACCAAGATGTTATCATGACAGTTAAAACTTTTAATTACTTGTATTTGTAATTTAATTAAATTGGATTATTTCTTTCATCATTCACTGGTCAGAGTATTCCAGAAATGAACTTCTTGCCCATTAAATCAGAGAATCGAACCACAGGTACAAGTAATTACTCAAAGAGTAAGACTTTCCCAAATAGTAAATATTACTTTGTGAAACAAGTCAAGAGGTTAACATTTTGAACTATATAATAAACATAAATCACAGCAGATTCCATCCTATTTGGCCTGACTCATATGAACCTCTATGTTCTTTTAGCTACCCTGCTAAGTAATTCTATGTCCTGGTCCTAAAAAGAGAGGCTGAGTTGTCTGGACAACAAAAGAAGTACCAACCTTGCTGGCTAGTGACAACCCACCCCTGCCCCAAGCAGAGACACACACACAGCACTTGCCCACCATAAAACACCGCAAAGTCACAAACAGAAAACCAGCCTCCCAACTTAGCCTTTGGTGGCAGGGTGGCGTTTGGAGGAGAAAGCACTACAGGCACGACTTCAGTGCTGTGGCCAGAAGAACACAGACCGTAACATATACGGAGGGTCGGACTGCAATGGTGTTTCTCAACATTGATAGCACATGGAAGTCCCGAGGCACTGAAAGGACACAGGCCAATGCCATGTCCCACGTACCCAACGACATCAGGATTTCCAGAGTGGCACTGGGACACTGGCTGTGGTTTTCTTTTGTTTTGTGTATTAAGCTCCCCAGGTGATTCTAAATGCAGCCAGGCTGAGAACCACTGATGGCCCCCTGTCCAGGTTTTTGGCTGCACCCATCATCTTGTCAATTTCCACAAGGAGGAAACCAAGAGGAAACCCAGAGAGAACAGGGAGCTCCTTCTGTGGGTCACCCGGAAAAGCTAAAGGGCACAGGTCCGTTTGCCACAGCTACGAAGAGAAAGAGGAAACCTACGAGTCAACCTATCAAAATACATGAAAGAAAACTCTTTAACATTATAACTAAGGGGAAAGAAATATTTGTTTTCCTTGGTATTTTTCCCAAAAGCATTTCTTTTTAGTTTTCCAAATGTTCACTTTTTCCAACCAAGTCTTTATCTTTACTTTGCTCCTTTGTTTACATTGAAAGCTGTCTTCACTTGCATTTCCCAGAAATGCTGCTTTTGGGGTTATTTTTGGTTAAGTTAATTTGCCCCATGTGACCTACGTAGTTCAACTCAAATGCTCTCTGACTCACACTCACAAGCAGAGGCCCTCGTCAGCTTGATGTACACAAGAGTACAGACTTGATCAGTTCCAAATGTGGCCTTCCGCCGCCCTCGGAGGGCAACGAGAAGATGCTCTCCAACGGCGGAGCCCGACTCAGCCCCGACAGATGCTTTCCCTTAAGTTCAAAGTCGTTTTTTGCAAGCACCTCGCTTTACTTCTAAATGCACACTCAATATACTCCCCGTACAGCTCATCACTCCCTTCATCTGCCCCGCCAGCCTCTCCCATGACCTACAACGGCCTCCACCGCCTGCCCCGTCGTCTCTCCGACATCTCTCACTTCTCCCCTCAGCTCAATCCACGGCAGCCACCGGGTGTGGACTAGGCAGCCCAGACCTGCCCGCAGAGGCCTTCACCCAGCTGTGCCCTCTGCCTGGAATGTCGCCCCAACTCCACATCTGCATGGCCACCTCGCTTCTGCCACATCTACACTCGAGTGTCACCTTAGAGAAGACTTCTTGAAAGTTCCAGAGGCAGGGACTTCTGTTGGCTTTGCTCACTGCTGTGCCTTCTGCACGTCAAGCAGTGCCTGGCAGAAAAGGCACCTAAGAAGTATCTGTAAAATGGATGACTGCACCACCAACTTGCATGAAATTCCCATTTATTAACAAGGAAACGGTTCTCAGCGGTGAGGCCCTGTCAGAATCACTTGCGGAACTCCTACAACAAGACAATGGCCTGCCTGTCCCCTCACGTGTGAAGTTAGAGTTCCAAATCCTACCCTCAGAGACACCCAAACACATTCAAAATGACATCTATGCCAGGTTTTCCACTGTAGTGATATATGTAATAGCGAAGGACTGGAAATAATCACATGCCATTAAAACGGGACTGGTTAATAAAACGATACATCTACATGTTGGAAGACTAGGCAGCTGTCAACAAAAGAAGGGTAAGAAAGCTAGGTTTTGACATGAAAAGACTGCAAGATATGAGTTGAGTTTAAAAAGCGAGGTGCACAATGAATGCCTAAGATGTGAACATTTTGTGAGAAGCCGTGGAGAATACAAAACAGTGAAAAATTACCCAGTATTATAAGCACACTTTGTATAGCTCTTCTCATTCATCCAGTATGCTTGTACACACATTAATCCGTATGATCCTCGCAGTAACCGCCACCTCCACACGAACAGTAAGAACGACAGACACTCATCAATCATCCCTCCAAGGTCAGCTGGCCAGCAGGGAGGACCTGCAGCTGCAGAGGTTTATGACGGTGCAGGTGAACCCGGGGGCAGAGCAGAGCCGCCTGCAGAGGCGGCAGCTCTGGTTCCAGCAGCAGCACAGCCTCTGGGCTGCACAACCTCATCTGGCAAGACTGGGTTTCCGTGAGAGTTACACAGAACGCATTTAAAGTAGTTAGTGTGCTGGAAAACAGTCAGTAGTCACTAAAACGTGAGCTACCATTATTCCCATGGCACTCGCTCCCAGTCTAGCTGGGAAGGAATTAAACAGGCTCCAACACCGTCACAGGGACAAGCTCCGTGAGACCTGGAGGGCACCTCTTCTGTGAGGCTGAGCCTCCCAGGGCAGGTCCATGGCTGACCCATGGTCTCTGCCTTGCAGCAGAGCACACATGCAAAGGTGCACTGGTGACACACGCCTCGGGACGAGCTCCGACAGCCACCACAACTCCCGTGTCACCTTCCCTGGAACGTGGGGGGCTATGTTCTCCTCTAAATAGACACTCCACACAGAAATGGACAAGCATCTCCCATGACGAGTGATCAGCTGTCTAAAACTAGCATGTAACAGCTTGAAAGATCATTTAACTATCTGAACTACAGTCAGACAAAATGCTCTTAAGGGTCAATGCTCATAACGTCACGAGTGGAGCAATCTCGTCTCCAACTAGCAAGTGCAAATCAGTGCAACTGTGTCGACGGCAATGAGGCATACGTAACCAACTTCTCTTAAATCTGTACCTATGGATCCACTAACCCCGCCGGGAGGAACCTATCCTAAGAATATAGTCAGTGACACAGTCAAAGGTTTGGTGCAAGGAGCTT